CTGGAGACCATGACCGAGTGGAAGAGGCTTCTCTTTCTGAAGGAGGTGACGGACCCAGAATGGAGGGGACTTCCATCAGAGATAAACTTGATTCTGGTGACATCCTATTGGGAGATGAGGTAAATAAAGGGAAAGAGGTAATGGCGAGTTGCCCACTACTTACTGTAGCTGCTGCATAGCAAAGGCAATATCTCAAATTATTATTGTTTAGATTTTCACTTAGTTATCACAAAAGGTGAGACGCTATCAGCGTCTGTCAGACTCTGCAGTAGTCTTTCCTGGGGGAAAACCTTATGTGCAATTCACTGCTTTCATGTGGAAGGCCTAAAATGATGTGGGAATAAATAACTGCATCAAGCCATATTTAAAAATCTGACATCAAAGTGAAATCTCAACATCTGTTATAATTAACAGCCGATTACTTAACTGGCAAGTATAGCAGTACTTGATAGCACTATCCAGCAAAACAGAGGGGCTCAAAACCATCTGCAGCCACCTTGTCATTTAGGCTGTGATAATCTCACACTTTACATGGTTGTCTCATTATTTCTGCAACAGCACGTTTACATGTGCTGACAGTGTCTTTGACAACAACATACTTTCCTAATTTAACACTAGAGAAGTAGGTTCAAGGTTGATAAGAGTAGGAAATCACATTTCCTATTTCTTACCAGAATTATTTTGTGTTTTTCAGGTTGAAGACTCAGATGATGCGGCACACTCTCTCTCTGGTATGTCGCCCGCTGAAAGCATACTCTCAGATGAAGAGCTCCTTCTGGACCAGATCAAGGACTTCAAGAATCCAGACAGCAGCACAAAGACTGAAGGTGCAGTATTAGTAGTCACAGTCTCACACTGGCTTCCAAGGACCCTGTGTTTATGTTGGTCAAAGCTCTTCTCTGTCCTGGTCATACAGTCATGGAGTACACTCTTTGCTGAAGTCAGAACAGCGGCTTTTGTTCCTGTGGAGTTTGAAAGCACTTGTTGTAAGATGTTTTGGACTAAAGTTTCTGTGTAGCGAAGGCTGTGTAATGAAAAGCTGTAGAAGCACAACACTGCCTTCCCCATTCACTCCACTCAACATGTACAGACACACACTATTTGATTCGATGTGCTTTGGGAGAGCACAACAAGAAAAACGGTTGCAAGGTTTTACCTGACAAAGAAGCCAAGATTCAAAACAAAACACTCATTTGTGAGGCAGCCCACACCACTGATTGAAGTAAAAAGCCCTCCATGAACATCAACTTCAATCTGGGAAATAGCACTAGATGAAAATATGCATTTGATTGACTCTATGGCAGGATTTACAATTACAGTTTCTGTAACTAGATTTTTAGTAGGTAGACGACTGTCTGCTTCATTCATAATGAACTTGGCCAGACTGTTGTACTAAAATACAAGTTGCAGCAGATGGGCAGCAGTAATAAATAAAAAGGGAAAAATATGTTATTGCATTTCTGCACATTGAGCTCAAAAGTAGAAGTATACTTTGGCCTGACTAAACCATTAAAGAGAAATATACATATTACTGCAGCACTACAAAGGGAAACCTATATACATTAAAGTTTTTACCTGTGCTGCTTAACTGTCATTTTAAAGCTCAAAACCTCAGGAACATTTCAGAATAAACATGGAAATATGAAAAAACACCAAAGCATCAAAAACCTTTAGTCAAAATCAACTAACAGGTACACTAAGTGCAATTAGTAGCACATCAAAATGTTCAAGGCAAGCACTGCTTCTTATCACTTGTAATTTGAAAGGGCTTTCAGAACAGCACTGACATGGTGACAGAAGACACTCTATCCCTGATTATATAGCTGTCTTGTGATTTTATTTTCTTCTAGTTTGGCAAACTGACTGGCACAAGAATCACATGGCAGTGATAAGTAGCGAGACATTTGACAGCCTCCTGAAGATGTGTCCTGATTTCCATGGCTGTAAGAGCCACGTAGCAGCATTTGTCTTGATAAGAGGTAAGCACCTTAGGTATGTTGGTAAGATGCACAGATACCACTTTTCAGTTACTTACATTTGGGTACTTTCCGATACAAGATATGTATCTGTGATACCAGTCTAAACAGGTGGCTTTGAAAACATTTTTTTTCTCTTGGCAGTTTTTCCAGATGCGTAGGTTTCACTTCTTTGTCATTTCGTTTCATCTTAAACAACAGTGCGTTCCCAAACCTTTTTCCTTAAGCGGTTTCTCTGTCTCATCATTGAGTAACTGGAAGACCCCTAACATATTTTGTGGGTATTCATATTATTTTCTCAATTGCATAACAATAACAGTACAGGGAACAACTGATAAACTGTACAATGAACCTAAAAAGTGAACACAATAACTGCAGTAGGTTTGTATAAAACGAGCGATTTGGATGAATTTTAAGCAGATTATCTTGTGAATCTTGCCTCAGAGGTGAGTTTTCCTGATATTTTAAGGGAACATTTTGTACAATTCTGTCTGTATTATGTGTTTTTTTATTTTTAACAACTGTAACTACTTAATAGGCGTCTTTTTCTTTGAAAAATTCAGTTTTATATTCTCTCTGATGCTTGGCCATTATTCTGTTGGCTCTTTGGTTGTTTAACCGTGTACTTCAGAGTGAATGCTCTGTGAATATAGGTTGTGTTTGAATGTTTTAAGTTTTCTTTGCAGAAATAAATCCATAAACGAAATGCTGTTATATAGACCTAATGTGTTTGGTCTTCACATTTTCTTGCGCCTTTTTAAAGTCAAGAAAGCCTAGAAAAGCCCCCATGAAGCTTTGTTGACCCCTAGATTGGGAACCACTGAAATTAATGTTACCTGCTCAGCTAAAGAGAGGTTAATGTCAGGTTGCTGTAAATTGGTATCGGATTAGTTTTGTGATTATGATTACAAGTATTTGCAAAGTGCATCCCTAGTTAAATTGTTAATTTTTAATAAAATACTTTTTATCAGTGTTGCTGTATCCATACACTGCTAAAGAGAATGGAGAATATTTTTGCGTGTAGAACTTCATAAACTGGGCTTATACCACTGGTAAGTTATTATTGATGAAGCAAGTTAAGGGGCCTGGCATTGACCCGCCAGAAAAAAGAGATTAGATTTTTATATACAGATACAGAAAATAAATATGACACTGACGTACAGTGTGGAAAAAAACTTTCATTTAATGTTAGAAAGAAAAGAAGAAATCTGAGAGAAACATGTAATGTCCAACTGAAAGTTGAGTTTAGTCATCCTTTTTGTAGGCAGAAAGTTTAGTTTATTATTAAAAGGAAGAAAAAAGGCAATTTACTTGCCAGTTGCAACCACGAGTTTGACATTTTGATGCTGGAGAGCTGTTATTTCTTTTTTTTATTCAAGTAAACCTTTCTGATTATGACCTGTGAATCCTTGAGTCAGAAGCTGTAGTTTGAATGGAAACCGACGGCATTTCACTCTGCTTCTGGGTCTCTTATATTCTATCCAGGCTTTTAAAATGTACTGTTAAACATGTGTCATCACTTGTAGCTCTGGTTTATCTCATAGTTAAATGCCATTCACACATAATTCTTAATGTCAATCATATGTCTGTCTGTCTCCCTGTCTGTAGTGGTTGCTTTTAACTAAAGCAACAAAGTTAATAATAAATTGTCAGGAAAAATTGTTTAATTTCCTCCGTAGAAGTGTTGGATACAAGTGGTCGTCCATGTGAGCATTACAAAGTGGTGGCGTTGGGAGCTGGCCGTTCATGCTGCAGGAAGTGGCTTTGCTACAATGGGACAATGGTCCATGACTGCCACGCCATCATCATTGCCAGACGGGCTCTCCTGAGGTACAAACTGCTAATATGACTTCTAAACAGGGGTGAAGAACTAGCTCATGCAAAATTGTCACGTTTCCTACTCTCCTACATCTTAACTTTAAATACATTTACGAATTACATTTATAAACATTGCCTTTCCCTTATTAATATTCATGATGAAGTCATGGCATGCCTTCCTATCATTTGTTAGAGCTGTTAGCCTGGATCAGCTCGCTCTGGCTCTTGTGCCATTGATAATGCTTCTGGTGCATTTAAAGTGCAGGTGTAGCTGAAAATGAGACTGGTATTTTCTGGCTTGTGTTCAGGTTTCTGTACAAACAGCTTTTGCTGTTCTTTGATGCGGATCCAAGGGCCAAGGAGAACTGTATTTTTGAGAGTAATTCAGACAGCCACCTGCTTCAGCTCAAACCCAAGATCAGTCTGCATCTCTACACCAACCAGTGTCCTGAAGGAGCAGCTAAGAACTTCTACTTCAAGTACAGCAGTCTCTTATTCCCTTCTTTTGATTGTTTCAATATCCATGTTTGTCCTGTGTGCTTTGTTGCAGTATTTTGCAGCATGTATGTGCAATGCCTTGGGATGATAAGAATTAAGAATTTCATTCCAAAATAGTGTATTTGACTACTATAATAGTGGCATCCTAAAATGTTTAAGTTAATTCATATTTTGCTGCTTTATGCAAATGATTATATTTTGTAACTAGACCTTACAGCAGTTTAATATCTGTGGTTTGTGTTTCTGTAGAAATGTCTTTGTAATTATTAGAACTAAATGGGTAAAATACAATGTTTTGTCCTGTTTAGGGGCCCTCTGAATAATACTTGGACAGCTATGAAGCTGCAGTATCATGCCAAGGGCCTGCTGATCCCTGTAGCCTACCTTGACCCGAGTCACTGGGGTGCAAAAGTCTGCTGCATGTCTGGCAGTGACAAGCTGTGTCGCTGGACTGTCACTGGAGTTCAGGGTGCATTACTGAGCCACTTTATCCAGCCACTCTACATCACCAGCATGGTTCTAGGTACAGCCATTTTAGCAGATACACTTGATTTCTTAGACAGAGTTCCCACTCTTTTTAAGGAATAACTTTCCAGGAACTCTTCAGTTGGTTGTAATCTGCAACTTCACAACTAGATGCCACTAAATGCATAAACTAACTAAATAAAGTTAGCTTAAGGTGATGTCTTGTTAACACAGGAATTGGTATTTTACATCCAGATGGTATAATATAAATGCTGTCATAAACAGTAAGTGAGATGTTTTTGAAATGAGGAAACTGAAGCTGATTACTACTAGATTTAATGGGAATGGCCACTCAAAGGTCCAGTGTGTAACATTTAGTAGAATCTAGAGAATCAGAAATATAAAATAATGTATGATAGTTATGTTTTCATTAGTGTATATAAAAATGAGAGCTGTGTTTTTTTTTTTACCTTAGAATGAGTTTTCATCTACAGAGAGCAGGTCCTCTTCTACAGTGTCCGCTATGTTGAACCTGCATGTTTCTACAGTTTCTCCTACACACTTTAAATATCAAATGTTAAGTATTAATTTCTTTCACCTGTGTGTTTGTAAATTCCTCAAATATTTAAGAATTACTGAGATTGTCGTGTTTTATTTAGGGGGCCAGAATCGCTTTAATGAGGAAGTGTCTGATATCACCAACAAGCGACTGGGTGATTCATTGAAAGACTTTCTGCCGCAGTCCTACAAAAAACACGACATCTTCTTCCTCTGTGGTGACTATGTGGGGCCGGTCGTGGCCTCCCCGCGGCATGACGATTTCAGCATCAACTGGTGCCTCGGAGACAAGGATATAGAAGTTCTGGACAGTAGCGAGGGCTTCATCATTGATGGGTAAGATGCAGATGAACTGTACCAGAAATCAAGTTTAACTCATTTTAAGAAGTGTAGTACGTTGATCCTGTCATGTACACAAGCAGACTGACGATAGCTTACCTCATTTACACTCCAGCAGCCACTTCCAGGGATATAGTAGAACTACTGGCTGAGCCTGATGCCGTTTGCTTGTTTGACAGTCCCATTGAGGCTTGGGGCTCCTGCCATGTCTTGGTTTTGGTGCTGCAGACAACTGCTGATGTCCAGTAACTAGAGTGTGACACAGACGTGGCTCTCACTGGAGGCTGTGTTGTCCTCGAGTACAGATTACAGCCAAAAATAGATGTGAGATTCTGCTTGGCGCTCGCAGTGTTGCTGCATACTTTAGCTTCTGTCTTACAGGCTGAACTATTCGTTTTAGGCGACACCGTGGTTTAACGTGTCAGGATGAGCTCTGCAGCGTGTTCCAAACAATATACTATAGATAGGAAATAAAAGAAGAAAATATATTCAAAGGCAAGAATACAGGACAAAGGCTGCAGGGGGAGTTGAAGAATCGAAAGAATGGCAGGAACACCTGCTGGAAAAAAACTCCCAAATTATAGTGTGAAGACAAAAGGAGATCACATGAGGCTACTTTAATTTAGTCAAGTAGAAGTTGCACACCAATTATTCCTGGCTTCTTTTAGCCATGGTTTTTACCAGTGAAGCAATTAATTGCTTCCTAAAAACCTTGGCTTGAGCTCAAATCACTTGAATTCTGCCAAGAAGAATTCATTATATGTGGAATGTATTAGTAATAAAAAAAGTGTTCAGTGGTATGAGGAATATAATGGGCTGAAGCCATTGTAGATCAGATCTTAAAATTTTGATATAAGTCACCCTGCACAGCCATTTGCAATGCCAGCTTTTGCCTTTGCTGTCATATTTAGTATCACCCCTAACCTTAGTACCGGTCTGGTACCCCAGGGGTCCACCCCAGGGTTTCCCCCAGAAAATTGCTTAGCAGCAGTTAGTGCTGTTTACAGGAAACCCTTCCTTCTCCCACTCAGTCACACCACACTTACCACACAGTTTTTGCTTTAAACAGTGGAGCAGAATTGTCTTGCCAAACACATTTTTATGTTGAGCACAGCTGAGCCTGTGAAGCAGAGACCGCATCCTCCAAAACATTGAAAAAAAACACAGAGGTGGAAAACATTGTTTAGAGCAGGTCACCAAATTGCTGTGGAGAATAAACACTCATTTTACATCTACAATGTTTGGTCTTAGGAGTGGATACTTCTCACTGCTGCTAATAAACTGACTAGCTTCTTTGTGATTCATTGGTGGGGAATGTGTATGTTACACACACTACAAAGCAAGTCTACTATTTCACAGGCTGCTACGGCTATTCGGATATTGTAGCTGGATAAAATCTGAATCTCAAGACTAAGAAGGCAGAAAACTGATGTCCACTGAACAAAACTGAATGTAAAAAGTTAAATATTCCAAACAAGGCTTTGCAAAATATTTTATATGAGGTTGGAAATACATTTAACAATGTGTTAGACCTTTGAGGACACAAGCATTGTGTTTTGGTGAGAAATGTTGAGGTTAATGTTTTTTAATAAAGGGCTTCCTTGAATTTTTTTATATTAGTATATTTGAAATACATTAATATATAATACACTATATGTATATGTACATGTGTATAGATATACATGCACACACACATATAAATATATATGTATAGGAAAGCATCAATGGAATATTGGTTATGATGCACTTTTTTATTTTCCAGCTCTCCATCTGTGAGTGGACCAGGCTTCTCCAGCAGACTTTGCAAGAGGGCCCTCTACAGTTATTTCCGCCGAGTTGCACAGCTGGGTGGGCATAGCTATCTGCTGGATCTCCCCACCTACCACAGCGTCAAGGTGTGTGTCAACTATAGATGGTTACATGAATGCTCAGTGCTCTGTCCCAGACCATTGGTACTCTCAAACTATCAAGTGTGGTTATGGTAAATGTGCAGTGCTTTGCTTCAATGCAGTTTTAGACAGATGTGACGCATGATGTTGTAAAAATGGTTTGTTGTTTTATAGGTGGAAGCTGTTATCTACCAGACAGTTAAAGATCTGGTCAAGCAACAGTTTCTGAACAACGATGCAGGTCCCTGGAATTCAAAAAAGCTGGTGGACTCCTTTAGCACTTGAATGTGCTGCGAGTAACAGGCCATGAAGAAGTTTATCCAAGTTCCACTTGAGATTTTGTTTGCTGTTGTTCAGTGCACTTCACTAATTACCTTTAACAGTAAATCTATTTTTTTTTTGTTTAACATTGTTGTTTTTAGTTTGTGTAGGTGTTTGAGAAAAATAAAACAGACCCTACTGTGATGCACCAATGAAGTAGTCAGTTTTAATGAGTTGTGGGTGGAAAAATATTGGTTGAAGACTAACATTTTTACTGCCCTGTCAAGTAGAATTGAGCAGCGTTATCACCCTGTTGTTTTGTAGTTAAAAGTTTGTACTGATTAACAAAGTATTTTGTGTTGATGCACCAACCAAATAATACTTAAAGTCACTGATATGGAGAAGGCATTATGAACAGGTAAGTATTTTGTGTTTTACAATGTATTGTTTATTGTCATTCACTGTCATATAGTTTTAAACTAACAGATCTAACAGTTATTCTGCTTTTTGTAGTTTTATCCACAGCAAGTCCAGTGTGTTCAGGGTCAGGAGGTCAAATCAGCTGAATAACCAAAGGTACGGTATGAAGTTTAAAGTTTTAACTCCTGTAATGTCGTCTGTAGTTTGAGGTTTTAGTTGTTTGTGGGGTTTTTTTGTTGTTTTGTTTTTAAATGACTCCTGTCCCCATATTTAATAGTATCTCAGTATCATGAATAAGAATGAAAATGAATTGTAGTTGTGTTACCGATCAACCCCAATCAATACCATCTGTATATTTAAAATATATGATGTAGTGACTCTTTTGGATCACACACTCAGAGATGGTGTGGTTTTTATAACGTAATTGGGGAATGATAGTAGAATGATTATTTGGTTAATCCTGAAGCACACATTTTCTGGCAGAGGAAGAGGGGAAGAAGAAACAGAGGGAGACTTGCATCATCTTAAATTTAAAATTTTATTATTTTTTTCATACAAACTGTGTGGTACCATGGTTCATTGTCACCATGGCTCCACTCACCAGTTGCTTGGCAACCAACTCCTCCTTGGAACCGATGCAACTACTCATGTCTTCATAATTACAGGCTCTTTTACAATATTTAGCCAAAACAAAAACAATAGAATTGCCTGATAAAATAATCTAATGAAGCTGGAATACAATGGTGCCTCACAGTTAAATTTGGCTGTCCACTACATGGATTACATACCTGTGTGGCTTGTATAGACGTGCACTACGTGTTAAGGCTGCTGTTTTAAAGCTTTTCATGACCGTTTCTTTGATTAGCATGTCTGCATGTGTCTGTAGGCAAATGCATATGTATTTCATGCATGTTTTATCCTTGTTCTTGCTGGCCGAGCAAGTGATTCCTCCAGCCAGGTGTCTGGTTCATCCACCTCTGGGAAGGCAGAGCTCCTGTACCTGATGGGCTACTCTGGGCTCGAGGGAGAGCCAGGGAATTCACAAAAAAACCTGCAAGATAATTAAATGTCTGTTAACAATTAGAGGTGTGAAAAACAGATATTTTCTCATATGTGGTTTGAGACCATATGCCTGAAAGTTGGGGGTTAAACTTAAATTAAGCTGTCACATGGTGAAGGAAACCTTTGAAAGATATGTCCTTTTAGTTGTGTTTAAACTGGCTTAATTACAAAGGCTTTCGTGTAATTATTGAACGTCAGTGCAGTCTCATTAATGTATGCAATGACCTTCACTGTGATTCTGGCAGCCAAGGGACTGTGATGTCTGGATAAATTTGTGATCATTTTATACGAACAAGGCTGAATCGCAACAAGATAAATTACAGCTTTTAATTGCAACCTTAAATCTCTTACAATAGTTCAGGATCAAGGAATGTATTAAGAGTTTAATGTCAGAAGAAGATAAACTAATGACAAAATGAAGAATATCTCACTGAAACTCATTAGGCATTTAATTGAAGCTAAAGCCTTTTTGTTTTAATTTCTCAAAACACATATTTTTTACAAATGTGCTTTTATTTTTGTATTGTAATGTCATCTTTTTGGCTTGTAAGTGTACTAAAATGATAACAGTGATAACGTGATGACAGACTGGTAGAATTAAATAAGGATGTGTGCTGTTTGTTTCATCACCCAAGTTTGGTCTCCTGCAGGATGACTCTCTGTGGCTGGAGTCGGAGGAAGCTGACGTGCTGTCTGTGGAGCTGGACTTGACCGAGCAAACTGATGGCACTGATGTTTTTGGAGGATTTGCTCTGGGTTTGGCCATGACTCCAACTGATGCGGAGTTGCTCCACTCTAAATGACAACACCAGACACAGGTAACAAATCACGAACCGAAACACAATGACGTACACTCAAATTTGTTACATGGAAGCAGCTGTCTGTAACTGGTGAGCTCAAGCTTTTGCAAAGTACCAGTTGACAGATTAAGATTTAGGAGGATCTATTGGCAGAAATAGAAAATAATATTCATAGGTACGTTTGGATTATCGTGTAATCACCTTAAAATAAGAATTGTTGTGTTTTTGTTACTTTTGGATTGGATTGGGAGAGTACTTGACACTAGGAACTGATACTTCAGTACCAAGTCAATACCAAAGTTGTGAAAACTTGACGGTACTGGTACCGAAGGTACAAAGGATGTAATTTTCCTGGGCCTATGTAACGAAACCTTTGTGCACAGTGCTCTGTCGTCAACTCTCTGCTCCGTCCGTGTCACTGTGCTTTTCAAGCGCAACATTAAGGAACAGCTTGGTTGCAGGCAATGCAACTCTCTCTCTCTCCTCATACTATGTGTGGCTATCGTACCAGAATACTCATCAAGCCGGAAACGTCCAAAGCAGAGGTGAATCCTCCATTGTTTCCTGACATTTTCCTTCATCAGACAGTGGAAGAGGAAGATGAAAAGTCCTGAAATATAAACAAAAGTGAGATGATGGCCGTGAGCTTTGGAGAACTAGGTTGGTTCTTGGTTGGTGACTGTTGTGTACTTTTTGCACTTGAGCAAGGCCTTTCTCTCCAAGAAGTAACAAGTGGAGGGCCTTTGTTGTGTCGCTCCCAGATACAAAAGAAAGAAATATAACAAAGGACAGCTGAGGTAAAAGCAGTTATGAAATAGTTGCGTCATTCAGCCTCTGCTTGATTTCCTTCTTTTTCACCTGTGAGTTTTTTTGGTTTCTTTTTGAACTGTGAACATGAAGTAGGATGTTGAGGAAGACTGCATGTGCTGTTAGCAAACCCTCCCCTCAATAAATAAACACACAGCTACGAACACAATGGACCTCTTCCAAGAAGGAACACGTAATAGAGGTTTATAACAAGAACACAAAATCATCAAACCCTCTTACTGTAACTGCACAAATTAGTCTTAAATTGTATATTTCAACCGTTTGAACATGAATGCCAACTGTTCATGAAGAGGTCCACACTCGTGAGATTTCAGCATTAGCATAATCGATGCCCCTAAATTGCTACATAAGGCCACCTGTTCTGCTCCATTTGAGGGCACCTGTTTTGGGTAGAAGTGGTTCAACATCCAGCATGCTTTTCAGTAATTATCTAACCTTGCAGGCTGTTGAGTCCAGAAAAAAGGTACAGCAGAACTATTCTGGCTGGTCCCCAGGTAAAGAAGCCAACAGTCCATGTTAGTCCTAGTAACAAAGTAAGACTGGCAACGCCTTTCAGGTCATGCATCAGTCCACTGTGTGTCCCAGCTGGGCTGTTGACTCGCATGTGGCGAATCTGGATCAGAACCACCACAAAAACCTAAAAGGAGAGTAAAAGAAGGCTTAGAGTGTTAGATAAGATGAGAATAACAATAGAAGGATGAGTATAAGTGCACTCAAATGGGAGTCTTGATGGAGGATAGGTTGCATATTGTTAGTTAAATGGGCTACAAAACCTGATCTATTTTGAGTTGATGAAAATGTAGAGTATATACTATTGTGGAAGTATTATCAAAAATAAGTGCTGTCTAATTGATAAGTGTAGATATTCCTTCTAAAACTGTCCTCTCTAAAAACAAATCCTCTAAAAAAAATAGTAAGGTAATTCGGAGACTTCTGTTACACATTAACCAGTAAAACATTTGTATGATGTAGACGTATATATGTACTTTTTATGAAATGTTCAAATGATTTACCGCAATGTTGAAGAGAAAGACCAGCACAGCATAGGCAACCACAGACACATAAAATGTCACATCGTCCTGGAGCCAACAGCTGAGGGAACAAGGATGACGTGGGAACAAGGATAGTGAGGGAGAGAGTCAGGGGGGAGGGTTTGATGCAAAAAGAGAAATGGAGGAAGAGATGGGAGTTATACAGCAATTATTGTAGTTATCCGAGCACATCCACATTTTGTGCCACACTAGTGGGTTAGGTTAGTTTCTGGTAAATATTTCTGTCAGTCTCACTGCTGATTTGAATCCCATGTGTTTTAAAAATGCATCAAAATATGGAAAATTAACACAAGATGAAACAAAAAAAAACTCACAAGTTGTCAGAGTTGTCCAGTGACTTTAAGCCAAGCTGAGCATCCGTGTAGAGGTGACTGCCATAGGCCTCTCTGTTCACAATGAGCACCAGGATGCAGATCACCAGAGGAATCCCTGGAGGGACAGTTTAAATACTTCAACTGTGTCATAGTGTCAGAAATAACAACAACCAACTTGTTTGAGTTTTTTTTAGGCCTCGTCTCAATGTTTCAGTCAACAGCACGACTCACCCCATCCCAGAGCACAGAACTTGAGGATATAAGAGGGCACATAGACGTTGAAGACTTTGACGAGCGCAAAATACATGTTAACGGCCTCTAATCCCATCCAGGTAAATGACGCCAGGAGGAAGTAGTGCAGTGTGGATGCTATAGCCACACAGAGGCCATGTAGACCCCAGGAGGACAGCCAGGAGTTGACCAGAAACACCAGGTTCAAGCCCAGCAGGGCCAGGGAGAGGTTGATGAGGATCTGAGAAGGGTAGTCTCGACGAAGCTTCCTGAGACGGAGATAAAACATGGGGGAGGAGAACGAAAGGTTAGACACAAAAGACACAAAAATACACAACACTGTATACACACTGATCCATACAGTACAATCACTAAACACATACCAAAGCTACCACACTAGCCTTGGTCTAACACACATTTCTTAGTTGTTATTTGAGTATGGACAAAGTGTTGGGTGTTTCAGTAC